CGTTATAGCTTCAGCTTTTGATTAAGGAGGAAGAGAAAGAGAAAGAAAGAAAAGGGAAGTAGAGTAAATTAGGTTTATCTACTGCTTCATTTATTCGTGCTTCTGAAACTACTTTTTTCATAGTAATTAAATCGACTCTTCAAAAATATACTTTAATTGAGATATCATTTGGAAATGAAATTTAAGTAATTTTTAATCCGAGGATCTCTTGAAATGCTATAAGTTTGATCATGCCTTGATCGTCACTTAGTGAATTCGAACTCTAAACGCAACTATGCTGCGACAGAAAGCGAAATAACATGTGGAGTTGTTTCGAAATTTCCGCCCTTTAAGAGTGATATATGCTGTACGATCAAAAATTGATAAATTCCATAGTATTTGCCAGTTTGAAAATTGCAGTTAGCGAGGAAATTTCCCTTAGAATATTCTACGGTAGACATTGATGAGTTTGTTACTTAATGTAAACTTTATCAATTTCCTTCCCGTGTTCTAGCTACATAGACTTTTGATGGTTCGCTTACCATCATAGAATCATCGCTTGCTTCTATTAATGACCACTCCTCCTCATCCCTTACACTTCTGCGAATGACCAGTCCTCTTATCGTAGAACCATTCTTTCCGCACCTGTGAATGGTCATTCTCCTCTTCATCTCGGCACTATCTCTTGTTCTTTGTTACATACCAAATATAATCATGTTCATTTATATTTTCGTGAATATTTAGTTTTCAACCATAAGATTATTATAGTTTTTGCGCATTCTACTTGGTAACTTTATTATAAGTTTCAAACTACGCACAAATTAATACCATAAAAATAACTTACGTCTTTTTACATCTTCATTTTGCCACACTGCGTATTTGAATGACTTACAATACTCCTGCAATTTCAACTCCACGCATAAAACTTTTTGGGGGAAGACAATTTACATTTTATTAATTAAAACTCTGTAGTGGCAATCCAATGAGAGACATGCTGGGACGACCGCTGTTCAAATTTTTCCACTTATCAGCAGCGACCGCTGTGCCGCCATCTTCATCTACTGAATATCACCAGTTAAAGGAGGACAAAGACGATGAAAGACATCAGCACAATAGTCGAGCTACATCCTTGAACCGGCGCACTGATCCCATGTGCATACCTAAAACCAGGTAATTTTCAATTATCGCACATTTTTCACTTTCAAGATATAGTGACACGCTGGAAACATTTGAAATTTGATCTGCAAGTTGCTCCAGAAATCCCAAACTAGGCTTTTTCTTTCAACCTTAGACTTATTTGCTATCTTTTAGAAAGGAAAACAGTTTAAATGAATATGCCTTCTGTGAAGGACTCTGTGATAATGAATACATGCTGGTGGATATCAACCAAAGGTTATGCAAGGTGTCATTTTGTTTCAATTTTCTATTACCATGTCTAAGATTTCTTGATATGTTTTAAATCAGAGTTGAATATGTATTATGTTTCGTTATTTTAGAGCGTCGACATCGAAAAACGTCCACATGATGCAAATATGGATCAGCTAGATCGAGTGCCAGTTGATTTTTCCGCCCCATCTGGTCCAACGATTATAACTGATCCGGACGAGGTTGAGTAAGTTTGTTGCATATGTTTTTAAATTTAGTAATGCTATCGCTTTCACATAACAGGAATGAATGTGAAACAGAATGAATGTGAAATGAATGTGAAAAATGAATGTGAAAAATTTCGTGAAACATCCAATTTAGATTTCAAATTTCAATAGAAGTGCGGAAATATTCCGAAATTTTAATTTGGTTTGTTAATAAATTGGCTTCCTTGCTGTTTTGTACGACATTCATTCCCGCGAGGCGAAATTGAACAGAAATGTTTTCCGTCATGAAAATCAGTTCGGAATTACTTCCTTTAGGTTAGTATAGTGTTGTTTAGATAGTTCACTTACAAAAAATTTGTTAGAGTACCCAGTGCAATGCAAAAGCAATACATAAGATGACAAAGATCGTAAATTTGTGTATGGGGTGAAAAAGACAACTGAACTAATGTTGGCCTTGATAGTTCGTCACAAGTGAGCGGTTCAGATGGACTTATTGACATGCTAATGATTTAAGGGAGATACTGAAGTGTGGTGAATCTCGAGCTATTTACAAGGATCATTCCAAAATTTACGGTCTTGCATCTTGCTCAATGTATCGTGCTGAACGTTGGTTCCACCACAATGCTGATAGGAGTAAAGTGGAGCGAATGTTGCAAAGAACTGGCGGAGAGGATGGGTGAGCAACCATTTATATCAGACTAGATGATAATGATCTTGAGCCTCTACTATTTCACTTGGCTAGTTCTTAAGATGATTATATGTATTGTAGAAAGTGCGCATCCTTAGGGATTATTAAGTATAAAACATGGAAAATGGAAAATGGAATAGTCTGTTTTGAGTAGTGAACGATTTTAATTAGTCTTAGGTAGTCAGTTGTTATAGGGGATTTTAAAATTACTTAAAATGTCGCGAAACATCTGAGAATGGCTTTACTAGTAAAGGGACAATTGGTTTACAGCTGAAAACTGAAGAAGAAATGAGAAATACTCAATCTTGCTCCCACTCTTTTTCTTACTAAATGTTTTTCTCAGATAGTTAATTGTCGATTAGCAATTTAAAAGTTATCTTAGTAATGTTAAGTCAAAGAACTACGAGTTATCTTAAGAAATAGAGTAAGGATTTCACTTTTTCCTTGAATAATTTTAGCTCCTTTTTGGTTCGCGTCAATCAGCGGAATTGTTTGATACTCACCATGTGTCATCATCAGAAAATTTATAACATTTATATCAACGTTGTAAGTTCTCATCATCATTTCTTCTTTAAGAGAATTGTTATGAAGAATCATCCGAAGGACAGTTTCAGCTGGGCAATATAATTCCAGTTTACCACTTCCTAAACTTTTTAAACAACTTTGCTTACTTTTAGGTGATTTGAGGTAGGTGATTTTTTTTAGGTGATTTGAGCTTTTAGATGATTTAACTTTTAGGTGATTTGAGCGGTAAAATTTTCGCAGTAGTGGTGACGAGACATGTAGATAAACGTAGTGTTCTTGCAGAAAGTTGAAGGACACAAAACAACATTTTTCATTGAAACACTGCATCAGTTTTCCAATCTGATAGACCTGGTTAAGTATTATACTCAGCATCAAGGATTATTGCTCCCATGTAAACTCACCAGAGGAGTCGCGCTCAGATGGCCTGATTGCACAAAGTAAGTGCTTCGCGGATTATGCTCTGAAATTGAAAAGCAAGAGATGTATGCATTTGTCCGAGATATTGGTTTGTAAGATTTCTTCAAGTTGATTTCATCGTGAAGATTAAACAGAAGTAGATTATTGCTCCCATGTAAACTCATCAAGAGTCGCTATGAATATCATTACGAATCTTATGAAAGTCGCTATGAATCGCTATGAACGCCTTCTATGAATGTATTGTAAGAATGAAAGGCTTTTCTGCCTTTGAATATCTCCCAAAAGTCTTCTAAAAATTTCCTTCGAACTTTCTCTGCCACATAGTATCTCTATAGTAAAAAATGCTGCAACAGATAGTCATATTAATTGAAATTGCTTGACTTCATGATCGCGCGTTCTGTGATTACAGGAGAGGTATAACAAATCGGTTGTGTGTTGAGGAAGATTATTAATTCACAAAGAACTGGAGGATGGGAAGTGTCACATCAGAAAAATATGGTCGTCGAACAAACGAGAATATCCGTTAAAGAAAATGAGCGTATTTTTCGACAAAATGAAAGGACCAAAAAACTGATGTAAGACGAAAAAATATTCTTTATTCTTCATATCAAAACGGATCCTGTTTAAGCAATATTTCTAAAACTCACGTTAATTCCACAACAGAACAAGAAACCATACATAACTACACCTTGCAAATGAAATTTTTTCTTACTCGTCAATAAGTAAAAGCCAAGATGATTTCAGTTTAGTTGGAATTTCCGAAAATTTGAGGCTCTAATTTTAATAAAGTTATTTTTATGTATAACATACAAAAGGTTTTGTACCCTAACGATTTTATGGCATATATCAATGGTATTTTAAAAACTTTGCAAACGAATGGGATTTTATTTCACAGATTTTTATACGACAAAAGTAATACAAATACAAACTTGTAAAAAATTGCCATCACCGAAATTGTATATCACAAACTAATGGTAGGTGGTCACTGGGAGATATCTTAGACGGTAGTGCAACGTACTTCTTAGCAAGTTCTTTGGGTGGCACTGGAATGACTTTGTGTACCTTAAAAAAGTCACAGAAAGAGAATGTCAAACATTTAAGTAACTCATTGTACACTTATTTTCCTATAATTAGCAAGAACAGAGAAATTAACTTTTCAACAAATCATTTAATCAATTAGATGTTGGAATTCCTTATTCCTTCGTAGTTTCAGTTTTGATAAAAAGCGTGACAAATCAGCTAAAGTATGAGACTAGGATTTCGAAACAATGTTTGCACGCATAAGTACTCCACAATATTGCGACAATAGGAACTTATGGATGACTAGACTAAGCAACTAACTTTCACATTAGTACTTCCCCAAATGTAGTCCAAGCATCCTTCGAAACCAGCAATTTGTCCATCATATCGATAATGACGTGTATAATTTGTGAATTGTGTTTCATCTCCTAAACTTGTCAGCTTCAAGCTGAACGATGAAAAAGACGGTTGAATGGTAAAATTTACGTCACCATGTGGATGCTGGCTGTACGAGCAGCACTCACTTTTGATCGATATATTTCCTGAAACTTTACTAGTTCAATACGACAGCATAATTGCTCAAGACTGAAAAAGAGATTACTAATCAATCAGAGAACAATATCTGGAGATTATTTTAAAGATCGCCCACAAGTTTAGAAACCCTTGCTACTATCAGTTCCTACTAAAATTTTTTATAGTAAGATCGCGCCATCAAATATCACAGCTGTATACAAAAGCCGCATGAAGATTTCCTAAGTGATAACTGGAATAATTATATTCAAGTTTCATGAGTATTTTATTATTTACCCTTTTTGTTCCTTACATTTTATTTTTCGCCCTCGCTTCGGATTTAAAATTATGCATTCCTCAGCGAAAAATTTTAACCTGTACTGAGCAAATGATAGACAGGTCCATCTGGTGTGCTATTAAAATCGCCAGCAAACAGGATATGCAACTTTGCTCTAGGATTGTGATTTGCATAATCTGTAGCAACACGCACAACCCATCGAGCACATAGTAATGCTTGCAGTATTTTGATGATTTCAAAACGAGGATCGAAATACAAATGAGTATTTGCAAGCAGTAAAATACCATTCCCTTCTGCGAACAGGCTACTGTTATCCAATACTAACACCTGAAAATTGCCCTTTCATAAGATAAAATCGAAACATAAATTTTAGGAAAATGGACGGTGTTCGGATATTTGCTTACTGTATTCTGTTCCTTTTTTCTTTTTCCTTTATTTCTCACTGGAAAACACAGAGCAGCATCTTTTTCCTTTATTCCTAATACTTTCCTTTTCCCTTTATTTCTTACTGGGAAACATACAAAACAATATACGCTAATATCCCAACTTTTATTTTAATGAACCATCATCGGATGAAGAATAATATATTTAAAATGTTTTTTTTTCGATCCTCGTTTTGAAATCATCAAAAAAAAGTTGGCAAAGATATATTTTAGGATTTTTTCGTGTTTTTGCATCATATTAAGCTCTAAAAAGATTACAAACAAAAGAATGGAACATATATAAGTCATATAAGCAACCATTCGTTATAAATAGCATTCTAAAGCATTTTAATTAAGAGCTACCTGTATGACTGCAGGTTTTGATATAAACATGGCATTTAATTCATCACTGCTTTTCAGTAGCTCAATTATATCAACGTTCTCAGGGTATGTTTCAGTATTTAGAAGGTCCGGCAACCACATGTTATGGCTTTCAAGACACCTAAAAATCTTAAAAACAAAAGAACACATGTAAATGAGCGACAGAAACTTTTCGAAGATATTGAATACATAAATAACGGACTCTAAGATCAAACCTCCCCATATGTTATTTCACTGCATGAATTGCTTGTTAGCAAAAAATGCATTTATATATATATGTATATATATGTACCTGAATTGATTCCTACGAAAACAGACGACTAATCCTTCATTTACTTTCATTCCTTTCTTTTTAAAGTAGCAATCATATCCATGGCTGCTCATCACCTCAGGTAAGAAGCGTAACCACAATCGTTCATCTACTTCTTGCAAAAATACGATATCTGCTCGGTAACCTATAAAAATAAAGGGATGAGGCAATCCCTTGTTCCAGCAATTAGCATTTTGCTGATTTTCATCAAAATTCAAACTCATACCAGGAATTTCTCGAAGTAAAATAGGGTATCGATAGTCGTAGTTCTGATACTCTTTTGCACAATAGGGAAAATGCAAATCTTCTTGTTTGAGCTTTAAATCCAAGTATAGGTTAGCAAGAATATTATACGAAATCACTCGTGTATTTCTGAAAGGATTTTGAAAAACACAAACAAAGATCTTAGCAAAGTTATGAATTAAAGTGAAAGTTCTTAAACAAAGAAACCTATTTGCGCTATATGATGATGAATAGTAATATACTTATGATTCATTTTTCTAAGACTGAATAATGCGACAATACTTCAATCAAATAAGAATGTAAGGGACGACAGTTTGCAATGAGAAGATATTAAAATGTTCATGAAGACGTGGTGGGTCGACTAAAGCGAAATTTTTACCTACTATTTGCATATTCTTGACAACAAGTAGCTTGTCTTTGTTCGAAAATCAATGTTTCACCGACTTCAGAAACTTCGCCACCACTGTCAGCACAATATACGATCGTATCTGATCCCATATCGAGCAATACGCAGATACGTTTTCCAACATCCTCAACACCAGGACAAAAGTATCTGCCCGTGAAACGATAGGTCCAACCATCCATCATATACTTCGATTTTCCTGGAAATGTAATGAAGGAAACACGATAATTTACGGTTATTCTACAAATGAAGTTATTCGTTTGAAACAAAAATGTCGCCAAGAATTTTGCCTTTTAACACAAAGACTCTTATTTCTTCATTTTTGCTAAAATATGAATCCATACTGACATACAGTGACTTATTATTGTTCTGATATTGGACATTAATTGCTCAATCCCATAATGTCACTAAAACTCTCGTAGCTCAATAATATAAGGGTAATTCTTTGTCGATTCAACATTCGTTATTAGTGTTCAACTTGAGACTAACAACGATTTTTTTTTTTAATTTACGATACAAACTACGTGCCAGTATCAATTCATATTTTCAACAGAACTAGCTGTTGGTAGTCAATGTATCAATAAACAGAAATACATGGAATGGACATAATCTTAATTTTTTTACGTTGCATTTTTAAAAAAAATAATTCGGTCTACAGGAAGTTTACCTCCCGGAATATTATTAACGATTGGCAAAATTAAAGATGCACCAGGTTCTCCAGCATACCAGTGAAATGATGGATCTACTTTTCGTGAGTCTGGAAAGCGTCTATCATTTAGTAAAGTCGAAATATCAATAGTTATGGTCAAATTGTCACAGAAATTCGATATGAAAAGTCAAAACTTTAAGCTTACTTCCCGCTAATGAGAAACTGGCCATGAGAGGGCATCCTACTAATGGTTTCAACTTTAGAACTAGCTTTGTACATCGAGGAGGGTTTCGTAATAAACGGTACATATCGTTATTGATACATACATCGAGTATATTCTCATCCTTATATATTTGTTCGTTCGTGGAAAGAAGCTGAAACTATGAGTGAAAATCAAATGAAGAAGATCAAACATTGTTAATACACTATCACAGCAAGATGATCAGTAAATGCTACAAGGATTACTACAGCATTCTAAACAATTTCAAATCAAATATATTGAACAATGATGTCCTTAATTGTCTGATGCAAAGTAATATAGTATATGCCATCACTTTTTTTTCTTTGCTATGATCAGTGATGAAAGTGTTTCACACTGAAAAACGAATACATTAATCAACAAAGTGCTCGCATATACACGTATACTTGACTCGATGAAACTAACCAAATTGGGATGATTTGGTGCAGAAAATACAAATTCAGAGGCCCCAGTCTCGTCACAAACCACTTTATTTGGCTGTTTATGAATAAATTTGTTGACTTTTTCCTTTATCTTTTCACATGTTCGTAAAAATAATTCGTCCAAGGGACGAGCAAGATTAATTTCGACCAAAGTCTTAGAATGGGGAACACAGTACACGAAATGGATGTGTAGAGAATGCTCCCTGAAACTTGGCAAAACCCTTAAATTAAAGCAATGGCAATAGAAGATCTCAGGAATTACTCACTCCATTCCATCCGTAAATAAGATCTTGTTACGAGCTATTCGTGGAGTACTCCCGATCCACATCATAATAACATTTTCCGGGTACTTCGCGATATAAGGAATATTTCGCCGAAGCGGTGTCTTCATCACTCTCCAATGATTTTTGCTGAAATTTTCATAAATATGCTAATCAGTTAAAAGAGTTGCCAAAAACAATCTAAAGTGAATTGGGATGATACAAGCAGATGCCAGGTAACTCAAAACCTCTCATCAGGTAAACCGACCGTTAAAGTTAATTCCTCCGCACAATTAACACTAGTAACTGGTTTAAATGATGTCATGAAATAATAAAGTTACTTATTAACAACTTACAAAAACCAACCATGCTAGAAAAAGAATAGGAACATACGATGAAGTGCCAACAGGATCGCTTTTCGAAGCGCAATTTTGGAAGAACGTTATCGGAAATGGATACAAACTTCGACTTCTACAGTGCCTCACAGCATTCCTCAACAGCCACCACATATACTGCAACGAGATGTCTTGAAAATCATTTACACCAGTGCCTTTCTCTATCAGCCGAGAAATAGAACATATGGCTAGTCGATAAAGGAGATTGACAGTCACCCTTGCCTCTCCAATGCCACTCGTAGGTGATAGACCACCCCCGAAATGCAATGCAGATCTCATGAAGCACGAGAAGGTGAAGTGTGGTACGGTGATTATCCATGGAGAGGAGAGTGAAGCATGGAGATAATGTAGCCATGAGATGCGAGAGGGAATTAGAGATGCTGGGACACACACAGGAGGACATACATAAACCGAAACATAGATATTGTAGATCGAGATTGAACTGCTAATTATCACTTCCCTTCATGATAATGAGTTGATTGGTTTTTGCCTAAATGGCAATGAAACGAATGGTGAGTAGGTAAATAATGAGAGTAATATATAATAAGCGCTAATGTCACAGCATACAACGAAAATATCAAAACACATAACAAGGTCGTTCACTGCAACAAACACTTCAGTGTTACATTTCAGTTTCGGCTGATTATCAAAAGATACGAATGTGTCCTCGTTAGAGAAATCAATGAGACAAGCACAAAAATGGGGACAAATTCCCTTAATTTTCCCAGGGAAACAACTGTAAAGAAAGGTAAAGGAAAAGAGAGGAAAAAAAAAGAAAACGAAAATCCCATTTGTTGCGTTTATTTCATCGTGTGATGGATTCGCTTTTTCATTTCTTTTATTTATTTATTTATTTATTTTTTTTTTGAACACGAAAAATACCTTTTTTGCCTTCATTTTTCTATGTTATTACGATTCATTTTGATAAAATGAAAGAGTAAATCGGCGATTTTTGCTTCGATGACATGCAAGGTCAAAGCCAGTCATGTTTCTTTCATCGGTTGGTATTTGGGTGAATTTTTCTCGAACGTGGTATCTCCATTGCACCATCAAGTTCCTCTCTCAACTTTCAATTCTATTTCATCAATGAAAGATCAAAATTTATCTTTTTACATAACAGTTATTTTACTTATGCAAATCATCCCAATCCATTTTTACTCATCAAATATCATTTACTTTTACATTGTCTGATTCACGAAGTTTCCTTCTACTGATATATTATCATTCAACTCTTATCCTTCTAACGTATTTTTGCTTCTTTACTTTTGTAGGATCCCACTCTAACAATATCATAATAGGAGAGTAATCGTGAATGAATAACGCTAAAGAAGGCATTTCTTGAAGTATCAGACGGTTTGTAAGCTAACTGAAATAAGCAGTTCGAAATCATAAAAAATAAATGTTATTCAGTTCAGAAATTATTGCATAGATGTGATGAATCATCATAAGATCGGAATAAATTATAAATGAATTCGTGTGAAGTGTGAATTGCTAAAATAGAAGAAATACTGAGCTGAATAATTGCTTGATTCAGCGGATACTGTAGCAAGCATTGAATTTACTAAATAAGTGATGCTGGCTTAACGGCAGCTATGGTCTTGTTCTTAATTGCTATCTACTTGGTTTTGTGATGAAGTAATCGGAAATGAGTAAAACATGATCAATTTTTGATTTTTTGACCGCAATTAATTTTTCAGTGATTTTAAAAACAATTATGATTCAGAATAGAATAATTTACATACTGCTTCTGAGTATACTTAAGTTCACTGTATTAGTTGCAATAACACTTCAAGAGGACGGTGCTTCATTCATCCTTGTCCCTCATGGTTTCAGTCCCGATAATGCTGAAAGAGTGATTATTCCAGCAGGTAACTCTTATCAAACATCAAATCGATAATGTTTTAACCAAAATACTCCAAGCATATGAACCACAAGAATTGTCATGTATATATTGCAGTAATTTCGGGACCTCAACCACCATTTCCATGCCTAGTTGCTGGAATGGGCACGTATGAACATGGCCAAACATTCACTAAGGAACATTTCCATTACAAATGCAACAATGGTACCGCTGAAGTTATTGGTAAATTTAAGCTTCATAGCTAACCAAGCTTTAAAATGGCCTTCAGATTAGTCTTCAGATTCTTTGATCCTTCTGATGCAGTGTACCTCACATGTTAGCTGTGACAGGGATTTGGGATTTTGTAACTTTACATTTTAGTACTTTCCAAATCGTTATTATAGTAATTATTATTACTATCGATATGTTACAGCATGTGTAGCAGACGACAAATCAGTGATACATATCGGTCGAATGTTTGTACGGGGCGGAGTAAGGCATAAATGTGACGTGAATGGAGATACGGTCACTTACGAGCAAGGTAACCATTTCTTGAGCATTACTCGAAATCTAGCCTACCAATCAATCAGGTTACTCTCGACACTTTTCCAGTTCTGATCTTAATCTGTGCATCAATTGCAGAATTCTTTTTGATCTGAAAATTCCAATCAGCGATGGCATTGCATTTCTTTCTTCCAGTCTTTTCTTTCATTTGCTTTCTCTTTCTTCCTCTCACATTTGTGATAAAGAAAAGTTTTCATGGAGCTATTAATCGTATCGACACGAGTAGGATTACTTAAATATGCTAAGGTCTGAATAAGAATCTAACGTAAATTGTATTCGAATTAGAAGAATCTTTCCCGGTGTGCACTTAGAAATTATTATTACTGACAGCATATCCCAGTCTACAGAATAGTTCAAAAAAAATTAATTGTAGAAATCTGTCAGGAAAAGATAGTAATATTTTCTCTGCATCACACTACTAGTGAGATCTACAAGTTCTTGGATTTCGCAGTGACTGGTCTTGAGGACGCCAGCAGACCGATATTAACAATAAAGAAGGTGGGGAAAGTTTTGCGACTTTTCTAGATAATTTATCTCTCCGAAATCTCATTGTTTTTTAGAGTAGGCTACAACACCTTATACAAATCTTATTATTAGAGAACGTATGTAATGACACGGAAAAATAAGAGCAACGTATAAAGACGTAGTTGATAACTGATCCTGAAAGCCGGCAATTTAATATTTTCTGATGTTTCCAGGATGAGACAATTTAATTTTGTTATTTTCTGGAGCTTCCAGGGTGGGAATTGGCTCGCTCAAATTTTGCATATTTATTTTACCGGATATGGTTCGGATTTATTCCAATTTAGATAAGATGTGATGGTTGTTAGACTACTGCGCAGACTGCATATGTCCTTGTCATTAGCATCAGAACTGTTGCCAACAAAGTTTTGCCTAGTTATTATATAACCGTTATGAGACTTACCTGACTTTCAGGACAGACAGGAAGAGAGACTTATATTTCCTCCTTTTCCTCTTGGACAAAAAAAAAAAACTCAATGTCCAACAAGCTGTGAGCGCTGAAAATTGGTAACAATAGAAGTGTTATTTCATTCTGTCAAAAATGATTGTAATAATGGTGATATTTGGGATAGAATTACAAATGTTCTTTAGAATCAACCTGTTATGACAATGGAATTCATTACGATGTCGGCGAACATTTCCGCAATGGATCATTCCTGCTGGTTTGTCAGAAAGATGGTATTACAATTGAAGGTTTGTTTCTTGCCGTATTTTAATTTTAAAATTAATCTGTTATGACAATGGGATTCAGCAAGACTTTCTTATCCACATATGTCCGCTTATCCGCATATGACTTTGGAATATTTTTGATTAGAGAATATATTAAAAAAATTTTAATAAAGCGGTGTCGCAGTGGTCCAAACATAACCTATTAATACTCTAAACTGTATCATGACCAGGATTAGTCAAAATCATGAGAGATACTACCTCACTGATCTGTCCTTCAAGAAACGCACTGCATTAAAAGATAACATTATTGATGACTATTGTGACAGCATGTGAGCCCACTTTCGAAATTATGCGTCGATTTGTAATTGATAAAATAACCTTCAGTCTGTTGAATCCTGAACGGTGTTGGTCTTAGAAATTATTTCGCTGGAATTTTGACATTGCATTAGGGGTATGTATGGCTCTCATTTTTCTCATATTAGAAGGTGATTCAGAATTAAAATTGCGTTGGATTGCAGGTTGCTACGCTCGAAATACACATATCACAATTCCTGTGGGCACCGAACGAATCGTGGATCATTATTTGCATAAGTGCGAGCTGCTTGACCAAGGACGAGTGCGATATACTGCGAATTGTATTATTTTACTTACTTCATCGTATTATTTTACTTTTGCTCTCCCACCTGTCCCAATTTTAAGTGGCAAAAAATCAATTACCCTAACCACGGCAAATTTGATTACCTTTTACAATTTGACAATTATTTACATAAAATACTGAAATAAATAAATGCGTCTTCATACTCGAGAAAATTGCAGTGATTGGGTGCAAAAAAGACAACGAATTTTTCAATGAAGGTCAAATATGGACATCAGAGCATATTCGATATCAGTGTACATCATACGGAATCGTCCGAGTGCTCGGTGATTTAAAATATTTTTTGTTAGAAAGTCCTTTCCGGAGATAGCTCATCGTTTGATTACAATTAAGGTAATCTTTTGAACACTACTAATTACAAACCTTAGATTAAAAAAAAAAAACCTTAGCTTAGTCCCTTTCTAAAACTGCTCTTTGTTAGCAGTATTTGCACAAACAATTTAGCCTTAATTACCAAAAACTTTCAAATGATACTTGAGGTTGTGTGGATGATAATGGTCTATTCGTTGAACTGGGAAGAGATGTACTGATGCGTAACATCGTACATCGATGTTATAGAATCGACAAAACGACAGTTTATCATCGTTTCGCTTGCGCTGGACGAACACTGGCCGAATGTATCCTTACACCTCCACTGCAACGACTACCCTCAGTTTCCGAGAGATAATGTACTTCACTAATACTATTCATAAACTTGTTTATAAAATTGCTTCAATATTCACCGTTTCCCGAAAGGGTTTAATTTTACGACTAAATGCTACTACTTCCAGTTTACTGATATATTTGATAATTCGTTTAGGCACCTAAAAGTAAGTAAATTTATGGAATGCTCTAGCTAGTACCTTCCAATCGCTTTTCCTTAACAGTTTAATAAAATAGTTCAGTTGCTACTGCAGTATAAACTAACTTCAAGTTTTCTTGTCTCCAATATCTCTAATAATCAATAAATGTGAAATTTACTGCCTTCTTAAACACCAAATGAACGGCATAAGGTTTTGGTTGGTAAAGACAATAAATTTTGATAAATGACATTAAAAATATAAGCAAATTGTTATTTCGTAATTGCACAGTGTTAGATTTTAAAAAAGCGTTTATTTAATTTAAAATATTTTATCTGATTTCCAAAAAATCAGATAATCACTTACGATAATGAGCAGCTACTTTGGACGCAAAACATATTCATCAACTGAATATATAAAATGATAAATATCAAAAAATAGCCATCGATATAAAAAATACGAAATTATTTTAAATAAACTTCTACACACCAGTAAATGTGAAAGGAGAAACTTTTACATCTGCCAAAGATGGTTCCAATATGCAAGAAATCCAAAGTTGCATCATTCGAAAACCCGCTCCATAAAACGGTTTTTGATTTTTATAAAACACTCTTCCTCAAAATTATAAGTAGTTTTGCTACAAAAACGACTTCAAATTCCTTAAGAAATAGTAAGTAATTTGTCAAAGCAATAATGAAAAGCCTTCGCTAACAAAAGCAAAGATTTATTCTGACGCATCACGGAAATTAGTGTCTCAGCGTAGTAGTTTCCTAGTACGCTTTCACTGATGGCTTCTTAAAATCACGA